ACTAATATCATATAGTAAATAATTATAATTATTATAAATATTGTTAAACCTGATCTTTCTCAATTAAAATTAGCATAATTCGGATCTTAATTGCTTAAAATTACATAATATCGATCTTAATTGCCATTCAATTATCATATTAATATGTATTATAACTTATCTTTTAAATTAATATTATTATAATATTGACCTTGAATATCATTATAATCAATTATAGTTATCATTTATTATTACAAATGAAAATGAAAATTTTATATTTAAAGGAATGATATAGGAGGTTAATGGTGAAAATATTTATTAATAGTTTTAATAATAATGAATATCTAAACGTTTCAATATTTATTTGTCTTAAAATTGCAATATATAGTTTTTTTATTAGTTTTAATGATAATATATTGAATTGCCATTAATTGCTTATTACTAAACTATAAATAGAGAGAGCTCTTTGAGGTTTGGTAAAATAAATTTTTTTTTATAATTTCAATAATTCTTATACAATTTCTTTTTGACATTGATATATTTTTTTTTCTCTTCTAATTTCTATTACTCTATCAAATTAGAAAAACTTTGATAAATCATAAGAGAAAACGGTTTATATGAAATTATCATTAAAAATAATATATATACATCTATGATTAAATTTCTATTGTCCATTTTAATTTATTTATTTTATTATTTTTATTATCGTCTAAGAAATTTTATTAATTTAAAAATAAATTAAAATCAATGATAAAATCAAGATGAATTTTTTAATATGATATTTCCTTTTCCTTCAATTTTTTATTATTAGACCAGTTAATTTTTATATAAATTAGTCCTAATGTTTTGGGAATTTGAAATAGGATGTTCTTAATTTAAATAAATTTTTTCAACGAAATTAATAAATATAAAATTAAAAATATTTTAGATGTTCTTTAATTTAAATAATTTTCAACGAAATTAATAAATATAAAATTAAAAATATTTTAAATTATAATTTTTTTAATTAAATTTAAAATATTATCACAATATCTCTAAGATTATAGATAAAGATATATACTGTGCATAGGACAGGCATGCTGCTAGTCAATAAAAATGTTTACCCAATTTCATAGAATTTAAATCCATGTTTTTTTTTTCATTTTAAATATAAAATTTTGAATTTTCAAATGAATTTTGTGGAAATCATTTATTCCAAACTGATTGTATGTAACTAGCTAGTTTTCATTTCTCATGGAAGCATTCTGATTGCTTTGAAGTTCAGTTCTTTGAACTTATATGCAAGCTGTGAATTTGGAATTTGGAAGATATGAGAAAGCAGATTGAGTAAATCTAATGGCGTCTCCTCAAACTATGAAGTACTCTTTTAATCCTATCTTGTGGAAAGATAGATATCCATTATGAAGATACATTTGTCCTCTCTTCTAAGAAGACTATGCATTGACCAATGGATTTTGTGATTAAAATCAGAGGGAAGGACTATACGATATATAATAAAATTAAAATATAAGAATATTTTGATGTATTTTTAAAAAAATAAAGACAGACTAGTTTATTATGCCATTGTGCAAGGGTGCGTTAGTAAATTTTTCCAAATAGATTGAAGAATATATACTGAAGTTGGTTAAAGGAGGAAAATTTCGAGGGTGTTGCGCCCACATATCACGTGGAGGGTGGCATAATAAACCACTTTTTTTTATATTAAATATTATAAATACTTAGCTAAATTAAATATAGAATTTATAATTATAATTAATAAGAAGTTAAATGATGTTTTAATAAATCAAAAGAACTATTTTTTTTTAATATTAAAACTAAAATTAAAAGAAGCCATTAGATTGTTCTACTTAAAGATGACCTTGGCAATAAATAAAAGTCTTTATAGTAGTAACTAATTCTTTAATTAACTTGAACGATAAAATAATTTTTCTAAATCTTCTATACTTAGATTGTTTTTCCAAAGAATTATTATTATGACATACATAGATGAATTTCTGCCACTATATAATAACATCAATGAAGCAACAAACTGCATTACTAAACTCTATTGATTGAAAATATACATCTATAAATTAAGATTTAAATTCTCTGACAAAATAAAAACAAATATAATATCTTTATTTAGTACCAAACTCATAAACAAGTGATCAAACTCGCAAAAAAAATTCAAATATGTATACAAAATAATAAAAAAAAAAAGAAAGAAAAAAATATGTTAGAGAAAAATAGATCTAAATTTATTAAAAGCGACTAAAAGATGAGCGGCGAAAGAAAAAATGAAAAGTAGAGAGATAGTGCTTATTAACGGAGATAGCTCCAAACTAAAATTAGGTTTGATGGACTTAAAAGAAAAGATGAGGAGATAAAATATTGGCTTGTCATCCCAACGTGCATAATAAACCACTTAAAAAAAGACAAATAAACCACTTAAAAAAGACAAATAAACCACTTAAAAAGATAAATAAACGCGCAAGAAAAACTTAAACTGGATTCATGGCCTATTTATGGACTAAAGCAATGAAATTAAGGATCTATATAGTATAAAAAAGTAGGATAGTTTGCCTTATATGGAAGCCATGTGTAAGTAGCACAATTTGCCACTTGGTATTATTTTGGAGTATAGACGGATATTAGAATTCTAACACAATTTATCACTTGACAGTAATTTGGATTATAGAATGACATGTTAGAATTCTCACACAATTTACAACGATTGTAAGAAGATCAGTTGTTTTATATTTTCAAATGATCTCTTTATCAAAATAATATCTATAAAAAAGATTATCTCTAGCATTTAATAAATTAATATAAATTTATTTCTCCTTACAAATCAATTAATAAGTAATCCATACTACTTTAAAAAGTGTGAATAAACAATATATTACTATTAAATAAATAATATATAAACAATTTAAAAATATAAATTGGAAAATATGAGATATGATAATTTTTAAAAAAGTAGGACATTGACACGCTTAGAATATACTACACTAAATAAGTAATACATTAATATTTCAAATAAAGAAATAATCGTTTATAATAAATTATAAACATAAAATAAAAAATAATAATTTCTTATTTCAATGACACAAAAAGAAATTTAGAACAAAAAACAGTTATTTTATATTGGTAATAATAATAAAAAAACATCGGTCGATTAGCTTGGTGTATTGAATAATCTCATATACTAGGAGTTAGGTTGCAGAGAGACGGGACACGAGATACAAGAATGTACGGGGTATTATAATTTTTAAAAAATGTAAGATATCTACACGCTTAGAACATAGAACACTAAATAAGTAATATATTAATATTTCAAATAAATAAACAATCATTTATAATAAATTATGAGTATAAAAAAAATACATAATTTCTTATTTCAATGTATAATGACGGGTCAATAAATAGAATTAGTTGGGGGAAGAAACAATACATCGGTCGATTAAGGCTTGGTGTATTGAATAATCTCAAATAATATCTAAGGATTAGGTTGACAATGAGAGAACGGGCACGAGATATCAACATGATATTACGAGGGGTATTTGATAGATGCATTTTTAAAAAAGTGGTAAGATATCTGACACACGCTGTAGAACATAGACTGACACGTAGGAGATAAGTAATGATAAATAAGTAATATATTAATATTTCAAATAAATAAACAATCATTTATAATAAATTATGAGTATAAAAAAAATACATAATTTCTTATTTCAATGACACGAAAATAAATTTAAAAAAAAACACTTCATTTTTTATTGGTAATAAGAAAAAATATTGGTTGATTAGCTTGTTGTATGAAGTAGTCTCATATATCAGGAGTTATGTTGCATGGACATAGGACACAAGATATAAAAATATACGGTATACAATAATTTTTTAAAAAAGTAGAACATTCATACGCTTAGAACAAATTACACTGAATAAGTAATACATTAATATTTTAAATAAATAAATAATTATTTATAATAAATTATAAATATAAAATATAAAATAAAAAAACTTAATTTCCGTATTTCTAATAGCAGAGAAAAATCAAATTAAAAAAAATGCACTCATTTTTTATTTGTAAATATAAAAAAAAAAATCTTGATCCTGATTAGCCTAGTGCTATGAATATTTATAATAAATTATAAATATAAAATAAAAACTTAATTTCCTATTTCAATAGCAGAAAAACAAATTAAAAAAATGCACTTCATTTTTTATTGATAATAAAAAAAAAAAATCTTGATCGATTAGCTTAGTGTATGAAGTAGTCTCATATATTAAGAGTTGGATTCCACGGACACGGTACATGAGATATGGGAACGTATTTAATACACGATAAATTTTTAAAAAAGTAGGATATTTATACGCTTAAGACACACTACACTGAATAAGCAATACATTAATATTTCAAATAAATAAACAATTATTTACTATAATCATAAACATAAAATAAAAAATACTTAATTTTTATTTTAATATAATTGTTTAAATTCTCAAAATTTTTATCATTATTGAAAAATACTTTAATAGTGTGCATGTATTTTTTATATAGGTCATACTATGTGTGGCTTTTGCTATTGCATACCTTATAAAAGGTTTCTCATGATACTTAAAAAGGCATATCTTAGCATTACAATTTTTCAGTACATCTTAATGAGATACAATTTATTATTTTATTATATAATTTAGCTATTTTTGAATGATATTATAAAATATTATTTCATCATTTAATATTATTCTATATATCACGTGAGTTCTAACATTAATTTTTATTAAAGTTAGAGTATTTTTTACTGTACATTTGGAAGGAAAAAAATCAAAATACTATTTAAGAAATCTTTGATTTCAATGGTTTGATTTCATCGTACACCTATCCAGCAAATAATTTCCGAAAGGCTACTTTTAAGGTCCCCCCTAATCTTTTCTCCACCAATAATAATTCTCGTCTCACGTGGGAATTTGGGCCCCACAACTTACCACGATGTCATTACGGTCATTTTTGTCTCTTTCATTTTGGAGTACCGTCTTACATTGTTAAGGGAGGATTTGTGATTTTCGTAATTCGGACCCTTTTGGCTTTTCTTAATTCTTCTCCGCCTTCTTGCTCTCCTCTTCTGTGTGTTGAATATTTATTTTTCTTTAATTTATTTTTTGATTCTACATACAGATTATTCTTTACCTCTGGAATCTTTAACTCTAGCTAGGGCTTAATGACACTAAGTAGAGGCGAGGCCATGGGCGACTCTTCTGCAGCTGCTTCTTATATCCACACGGTATATATAGTTTTTACTGGTATTCTGATATTTATATGATATGATGATGATGATGATGGTGGTGGTGGGTTGGCAGGTCCACCATCTGATAGAAGAGTGTATCCTATTTAACATGAGCAAAGAAGAGTGCATGGAAGCTCTTTCCAAGCATGCCAACATCAAACCTGTGATCACTTCCACAGGTTAGTATTTTTTTTTTATTTTAAATTTACTATTTTTTCTCTTTTTTAATCTAACAAGTAAAAAAATAATAAATTATGTGAACATGATCATAACATATATTTAAATTTAAACTTTCCTAAATCATGATTTTTTTTTTTTATGTCTCACTTAAAATTCAAATTTAAGACTTCTTCATGAAAAAATTCAAAATTTTAACAAGGCGGAAATAAAATTTTATTTAATGAATTCTCTTTTTTTAACTTTAAATTCTATTCCATCAAAAAGAAAATTAATTCTATATCTAATCATTAGAATTTAAATCTTAAATAAAAATACTTTGTCAGCCATTGAATTTAAATTTTTATTTATTTTAGTATAAATATATTAAATAATATATACACTTATTTTAGTACAATTTTATATTTAATCAACAAAATCGTTTTTTATATAAAATCTAACTTTTTTTTTACAGAAATTAAATCTTAAATAATTTTGTACAAGCAATAACATAATCGATTTCAATTATGATGGCATGGGATATTAGGATCATATGATGAGATATAGAGATGATAATCATATAATGGTATTTGCGTGTGACAGTATGGAAGGAGTTGGAGAAAGAGAACAAGGAGTTCTTCGAGGGATACACGAAGAGGAGGGAGGACAGAGCGACAGCTGAATGGGCGAGGAACGGCACAAGATCCAATGCATGATTCACGATTAATAATTCTTCCAAGCATAGATATAGTTCCACTAGCAGCCAACTGGTTCATTCTGTAATTTGTATGGAATTTTATGGGTATTTAAAAACCTTAACTTAATCGTAGCTGTGTTATGAAATTAACGAATGTCTGTACTGTTATAAATTTGTATTTTTAATTATTAAAAACTCTATTTTCTTAATTTATATGCGACTCTATTTTTCATATTAAATTTATAATTATATATCTATGTATGTATGGATTCTCATCAATAGAATTGACACTCTTGCATTTTCTCGTATTCTCTCTTTATATTTTTTTATTTTTTTATTATTTTATAATGCGTTATTATCATAATTCATTCTACTGCTTTGATTTCGTACTGTCACATTCTTAATCAAATAGTTTAAAGTGGGTCGGGATAACTTATAGCCACGATAAAATTTAAGATCCGTGATTTTTAATTTGCTTACATTAAAAAGGTAATTCTTTATATATTATTGAATATTATATTAGTTTGATTAATCATGGTCAAATATTCAATTATATTTTAATTAAATTTAATTAATAAGAAATCCAATAAGTTTACCAAGTTTGAATAATGTTATTGCTCATAAGATAAAAGATTGAGATAATAGAATACTTTGAAATTATGTGAGATCGTGTAAGGAATTCATGAATTCGTATTACAAATTATAATGGACAATATTACAATAATCAATGGCATAAAACATTGTGCCTTTTGTTAGGATATCGACTCTGATACCAGTTGTTGGGCATCAGCTCTGATACCACTCGTTGGGCCCTTTCAACCGAGTAAGAGAAAATTAACGCAGTGGAATAATAAACTTGTGACACACAGAAATTTACGTGGTTCACCCTCGACTGTTTAGAGCTACGTCCACGGGACAAACTCCGAATATTTTTCTTCCACTATTAAAAATAGTAGGTATACAAAGAGAGTAATACAAAAATAGTGGCACTCACAACGGGACAAAGCTCCGAATATTTTTCATCCACTATTAAAAATAGTAGGTATACAAAGAGAGTGAATACAAAAACTAAGTGGCACTCAACAGTGTTTTCCAAAAACACTCCATAATAATTTCCTTCACGTATTTCTCTCTCCCCTAGTTTTAGGAAACTAGATAACTCTCTCTCTACATTTTTGTTTCTCTCGTTTCTGGTTTCTTCTCCATGTTGTCTAAACTGAGGTGCATCTGCCTCTATCTTATAGGCAGGTTAACGCGTAGGAACGCTGTTTTAATGAAGCCGTGTACAACTCATTCAGTGGCACCGCCCATGGCAGCCAATTCCAAAAGCCATCACTATTGAACTGGCTGCTCCTATTTTGTTCTTACTTTCACACATTGCTAGGTCCCATTTGATGTTAGGCCAACCGCACAACAAATATCTCCCCCTGCCACACTCACGTGGAGACTAGTTTAAGCCATCATCTCCCCTCTTGCAGCTATAATCTATTAGATCTGTCTCACCCATTCTTTTTGTACCGCCGCTACAACTTTTGCGGGGGACACGCCTGCTCCGGAAACTCCCTTTTATCGAATATCTGGCCGTGTACAAACCATGGCATACATCAAGTTTCCAACTGCTGAAGCATACAACATCTTTTCATTTCTTCCTTCTCTCCATCCGTAGAAGGGTATTGTTTAGAACTCTCCTTAAAGTGATTAGTAAGAGGACAACTAACCGCTTTAGCGTTTTCCACTCTAAACCTTTGAAGTACTTTCTCAACGTACTTCTCCTCCTGTGACAACCATAATTTTTTGGTTCTTCGATTTCTTGTAATCTTCATGCCAAGAATTTGCTTTGCTGGTCCCAAGTCTTTCATAAAAGACTTACTTAGGTGTTTCTTCAAGCTAGAATTCTGACCAACAGTCACCATATCAACAACATAGAGCAAAAACAATGTAGTCACCATCAGAGAATTTCTTCATAGAAACATAGTGATCTGAAGTAGTCTTTCTGTAGCCTTGCTCCCCCATAACAGACTCAAACCTCAGTGCTTGCTTCAAGCCATACAGGCTCTTCTTCAGTTTGCAAACACAATCAAAGTCCTCTTTTCTACCAAAATCCCTCTGAACTGCCATCTATGTATATTTCTTCTTGCCAAATCTCCTGTAGGAAGGTAGTCGTTTCCATTCCATTTGCTCGATTTCCAGATGCAAAATGGCTGGGCCGTTTCCGACATTTGTCACTATATGGATGTCATTTTTCACAACGCAGTCTGAGGCTTTGACCTCCGGGTGGGTTGGAGCTGTGTTCTTCCTGCTTGATCCTGAAGCACCCACGTGTTCTTCAAAAGCTTTCTTGCTTGGGCAACATCCACCAGCTCATTTCACCCTATGCAAGGACTTCATTCCATCTTGCATGGCTTCGAATCCAGTTCCTCTTGTGTTCAATTTCCATAGCTTCATTCAAAGCTTTTCAGGGTTCTCCCCCTTAAGTCAGTTCAATATATACTCATTTGACAGTGATATCTAGTTAGAGTGGTGTTCAGACTTCTACTAGATCTGTCTTAAGTTGAGAACCTTCCGGTGCCTGGTGGTTTGAACATGAACACTCATAATCTTCCATCTGGTTCATTTTCATTAAGAACTTCTGGATTTTCTAACTCCGGCAACTTTGTTCTTGTAGAACATTTTCTTCATCTCCAATTCGTCTGCGTTCTTATTGGAGGGACTTCTTCTGTATGTCTGTTAAATCTTCATTCTCATCTTCAGATCTATCAACAGCTTGCTTCTGAGTCTTTTCAACATCTTCAATAGTCTGATTTTCAACAAATACAGCATCTCTACTTCTTATCATCTTTTTCTGGATTGGATTAAAAAATCTATAGCCAAATTGATCTTGGCCATAGCCAATGAATACAAATTGTCGAGTCTTAACATCAAGCTTAGACCTCTCATCCCTAAGAATATGCATGAAAGCTTTGCAGCCAAACACCCGCAAATGATCATAGGAAACATCCTTTCCTGACCATACTCTTTCTGGAGTATCATACTATAGAGGAACACAAGGTGAACGATTTATAAGACTGTGAGTAACGCTTCACCCCAAATTTTTTAGACAACTTTGCATGTGAGAGTAAAACATCTGACACTCTCCGTCAAAGTTTTGTTCATCCTCTCAGCCAAACTGTTCAGTTGCGGCGTCTTGGGAGGTGTCGTTTGATGTCGAATGCCATGCCCTTTGCAGAAAGCATCAAATGGCCCAGTGTATTCTCCACCATTATTTATCCTGATACACTTCAGCTTCTTGCCTGTTTGTCTCTCAACCAGGTTTAGAAGACTTCAATGTGTATACCCAGGTCTTCCTAGAATGGTCATCGATAAGTATACCCAGGTCTTCCTAGAATGGTCATCGATAAATGTAACGAAGTATCGATTTCCACCATATGACACCGTCAATGGTCAACACAGATCTGAATGTACCAGATCTAATACATTCTTCATTCTAGAAGGAGGGGTAATCTTAAAAGCTACTCTGTTGAGCTTTCCTGCCATACAATCAGGACACTTGTCTAGGTGAACTTTATCCAATCCAGGTAGTACGTTCTTTCTTGCCAGAGTTTTCTAACTCATGTGGCGTAGTCGTTTATGCCACAATTCAACTGTACTGTCATTCTCTGCTACACTCAAAGTGTCTTGGGAGAGTTATCACGTACAGCTTTCGTCTTTAGGCTACCAACAAATGAACCTTTTGTGACTCCACTGGACATTCAGGTGCACAGAAAACCTTCATCATCAAATCTACCAACCGAGATTTGGACGCATGCTTAAAAGCCCATTCCTCATCAGTCTTGTCTTCCGGTTTAGTTCAACTAAACACAGGCAAATGCATTTTGATTACCAGATCTCTCATTTCTCCATATATGGTAATTCCCGCCATTTAGACTGATCATTTTGCTTGTCCATTTTGACTTGTGCAGAATATCACCACCAATATAAACCGTATACGTGAACAGTAGTATACGTGAATAGTGACCATGAATAGTAACAGTATACTTGAATAGTAACTATATGCATGAATAGTAACTGTACACGTGAATAGTACTATGCGTAAATAGTGCTAGGCTTAATAGTGACGGCTCAAGTAACGCCAATAGTAACTATTCACCATCAACCCCGAGTTACTATTTTACTATTCATTACTAAGTCGATTATGCAACGTCTTTCCGAGCGGACAGCACCAACAGACTCGTCGTAATTTTCTCTTCATCGTGGTATATTTATTTTCAAAATATATCCACGGATCCGGTACCAATCCCCGGTTACCTATCTGACCGGCTGGACCTGCGCAAACCCTTCGCTCTGATACCACTTGTTAGGATATCGACTCTATTACCAGTTGTTGTGCATCAGCTCTGATACCAACTCGTGGGCCCTTTAACCAGTAAGAGAAAATTAACGCAGTGAATAATAAAACTGTGACACACAGAAATTACGTGGTTCACCCTCAACTGTTTAAGAAGCTACGTCACGGGACAACTTACTGAAATTTTTCTCCCACTATAAAAAAATAGTAGTAACACAAAGAGAGTAATACATAAAATAGTGGCACTACAGTGTTCCCAAAAACACTCCTAATAATTTTCTCCAACCTATTTCTCCGCCCTAGTTTTAGGAAACTAATAACCTCCTCCTCTACATTTTGTTTTCTCTCGTTTCTGTGTGTCTAAAACTGAGTGCATCTGCCTCTATTTATAGGCAGTTAACCTAGGCAACGTGTTTAATTGAGCCGGTGTTTAACAATCATTCAAGTTGCTTTATAGGCAGGTTAACGCGTAGGAACGTGTTTAATGAGCCGTGTACAACTCATTCAAGTTGCACCGCCCATGTGCAGCAATTCAAAGCCATCACTATTGAACTGACTGCGCCTATTTTGTTCTTACTTTCACACATGTGGATCCCATTTGAGTGGGCACCGCACAACACCTTTATGTTTTTATGTACTCGATATTACTTATAATATCTTTATATATTCATGTATTTAATAAGTAATAATTTGCTTATAATATAATAATTATATAATATAAAAATCGGATGGTATGATGACTCAAAAATTGGATTTCGATATGTGATTGACAATGGGTAATTGGAAAGCAATATATAAGCTTCTTGTTTAATATTTGACATTTCGAAAATGTTCTCCCATTCTTATTTATTGATTGAAAGATCTAAAA